AAGGAAACATCTAAGCAGATTGCAGAAATGACTAAAAGTGTCATTTCTGCAATCTGATGTTTTCTCTGCTTGATGGAGCAGACTAACCTTTCTTTCATGACGAGCGCTTATACTGATCTGGTCAGAAGTTCACATATATTTAGCAAGAATATCCTATTCAATCTGGACTTTTAATAATTTATTTAAACCTGTGTTTTTAAAGAATTAAAACACAGATTATAACACAACGAGCGTCATAGAGTGCCCATGTTTGAATTATTTGTGCACCGACTTTAATGAACACATGGTAAATATGATACCCTGCCTTTCACTTGGTTACATATCCATCAGTAACAATTGCCCTGAGGGAACCTGCCACAGTGTCCAGCTGTGGACTAAGCTTTGATTTGAGGTTGATTTAGTCCTTCTCAAAACTGTATCCATGGATTTTGTGGAATACCCAAATGGGTTCCATGGCCTGATGCTGCCACCACCATGCTTGAAAGTTAGTTTTGAGTTTAAAAAATTTACTTTAGTCTCTATGCTGCGCTGTTCAAGACCGGCAACCTATCCAGGACATACCGCACCTATCACTGGATACTTTTATCAAGTATGTTGGGGTTTTTGTTAGTATTACATGAGTAACTTATACTTACTGCAGAAATCATTTGCTCTTTTGAACAATAATGCTGTACAGCAGGAGTATCCAATTCCAGTCTTTGAGAGCTACTGCCCTGCCGCTTTTAGACACATCCTGCTTCAACGCACCAAATGGCATACTAAAGAGGTAATTCAATCATTAGTTTGAGCTGGGGTTGGAGTAAGGACGTTCCTGAAAGCTCTCAAAGATTGGATGAAGACCCCTGTTGTACATCCGCCATGCCATAAAACAGCTCTTCAAATCCAGGCCCGGAGTGCCGGCGCCCAGAAACTGTTACATGTGTCCCTAAATCTAAATGTTTGGACACGTCTAACTCACTTCCTCAGCATGCAGTCAAGTTCTCCAGAGTCCTGCAAATGATCTCATTATTTGATTCAGGTGTGTTGAAGTGGGGACACATCTAAAAGTTGCAAAGCACCATCCCTGCACAATGAGCTAGAGAAAAGCCTGTCATTTTGTCTGCATTCTACTTTGAACATGTTGGTTTTGATGGGAAGCTCTGTACCAACCTCGCCAAAGCCACCTCTGCCCAAACTCCTGAACTCGTAAAAATATCTGTCAGTAATATTCTGCCTCTCGCACTCCTTCCACTGCAGGAATCGATAAAAGAAGGGGCTTTTCATGTACTCCAGGAAAGGTTTTCCTTTTAGAAATGTTCTAGTTGCTTCTCTCATCTGCTCCACGGCTGCCTCGTCGTTTTTGCCGAAAAGCGACAAGCACGCCTTGACATCCTCCGCTGTGAGGAAGGAGAGGAAAGTCTGAGACTGAGGCTGACAAAACTTTGACAGTATCCTCTGTTTGGCCTTTTCTTTGGTTCCGTCCTCGGCAGCGCTCCAGTTGCTTAGCTCCTCCAGAAACTCAGCAACAGCCACACACTGAGGGTCAGAGGTCAGGAGAAACTGCTGAAACAACTTCCGTCCTATAGGCTGCTGCTCACAAAGTGACTCATAGGTCTTCTCCAGTGCTGCCCGAGGAGCAGAGGACTTCTTTGGCGTGGGCAGCGTCAGAGACTCTCGGCGCATTCTTAGCTCGTTGCTATCGGTCTCCAGAGCTTTCAGGTAGGCTGTGTTGGCCGCCAAGCTGACCAGACCTGCCAGGTCACCCATGGGTGGATAAATCCTGAGGTGCACTGGGAAACAGCTGTTAAACTAAGAACACTTAAATTCACCCATCTGGTAAAGCGAGGCACGAGGGAGCCCATCAAGCTCCCACATCTTGAACGCTCTCACCGCCTTGTCCCACACGGCTTTGCACGTTTTTGCACAGACGGCACATAGGGAAAGCAACTTATGTGGTTTGAACTTAAGAGGATTTAGACTGGTCTATTATTAGGAGATACAAAGTGGCTGTGGGCAACCGCTGAACTGCCACTCTGACATGATATGGTGCCAGCTCCAACCTTAAAGTCACTAGAAACCACTGAATTTATGAGTTCACAGACTTCTTTAGAGTAACCCCCAGTATTGTGATACAATACAAAAAAATACAAGCAAAAAAACCCCGAGTCATTCTGTTACAAAAAATACTTCTTACAGCCAGCCCATCTAAGTCGTCATTTTTATTTATGCTCATTTGGCACAAAACACTGAGGCTGCTTCTTATTTCACGTCAACCTCAGGTTAAACAAGGTTAAAGCAACCTTCCAAACAATAGCATCTCTAAGTCAATTATAGGCCAACTCTCTTCCACTTACTCTCCCGTTTATTGGTTTTTGAGCTGGCAAAGAAAACAAAATTAAAACTTTTACTTAGTTCATTGCTTCATTTATTGGGTTTCAAATATAAACACCTTGACACTGGAACAATGCCAGCCTCACATGTAATCCAATGCTCGCAGTATAATGGGTAACAAGGTTACCTGTCATGTAGAGCAGTTTCGTAGCCTAAGCACTCACATCCGTAAATCCAACCTGTAACCAATCAGTACCACATGTACACTCCATAAAGACTATTTTTTGGTCTATAGAAGGCTCAGAGGAACATGCTAGACACAATGGGAATTTCAAACATCTAATTGGAATCAGGATGTAATTAAGCTGCAACATTTCAGTGTGATTAATTGTGATATACTTTAAAACTCAAAGTCATATTTTGACAAATAACTGAAACACTGAAGTATTTGTCACACTTTGACACTTTTATTTGAATTGCATGAATTTTATTCGTAAGAGTGTCTTAATCACAGTTATTCACAATCCTTGATCTTCAAAAAAAGAAACTCCCACTTTCACGATGTGCCAAACACCACAGCAGACATTAATGTAAAGCTGACATGACGCTCTGACACACTTTATTCTTCTCTCCTTGAAGTGTGATCCCTTCAGCCACGCATCTGTGCAGCTCTTGCTGTGTCCTTTGTCCTCCTTTGACACCAGGTATAACAAAAACATGCAATTGAAAGGGAGAGGACAATGCAGGACATACTGCCGGGATCAGCGAGAAAGTCTGTCACCATGTTCTGGTGCATCCGTGCACAGTACACCTGGATGTGGTGCTTATTTGCCGATTCTCTGAACCACCCAGTCCTGCTGGCAGAGGGGGCAGCGGTTGTTCTGCTTCACCCAAAGTGACATGCAGCAGTTATGGAAGGAGTGGTTGCACTCTCCCCATACAACTGAAAGATAGAAAACAAACATAACCTGCTGAGTTCAATGACTACACCAGACAAAGATATCTTAAGAAATGGTTTTTACAGAAAATACATCAGGGAGGTAAGGGGAAAAACAAGTTTGGGGTGGGGGGCGATATGGTCTTAAAGTTTCATCACAGTACTTTGTGGAACTATTGTGATAACGATAAAAGTGAGGATATCAATTATTTACTATTTTTTTTAGGTAACTGAGTGGTACAGCAAACACAATTAATGCTTCTTAAAACCTATTCATAATCCCATAAGTATTATTAGAAAAATAACCAGAGAACTGCAGGTTGATTGTATTTTGCCTTAATACTCAGCAGCAGTAGGAAGGGAATTTCAATAAGTGCTTGAGATCATGCTGTCACTACAGGGTTTTCAAACAAACTATAGTCATAAATGTAAACATTTGACGACATATTTCAATTAAAATAACCCAGTTTATCTTCCTTTTGCTCTGAAATAACAGATGCTGCTGTTGCTCATTTAAAAAAACTCCAGTTCTTCTGAATTAGCCAAAGCTAGCTTGTTCGATTAACTTCAACTACCACTGCTGTTAGTAAACTGCGTGTGTTTCTTTGTGTGAAGTATCGTACCAACACAGTCTTCTTGTTTATTCTCCGCCTGGCATCGAAGGCACGCGTCTGTGAAAACGTACAGCGAACAGAGTTACTGCTTCATTTGTCCGGTCACAAAACCTTTTAGCTTCATTAGCCGCGGGTCAGAGCCGAGCTAACAACTCCTCCAGACTCACCCATGACTTGTACCCGACAAATGGCGCAAGTGTCGCACTCCACGTCCCAACTCCACATGGCTACTGCATTCCACTTCTTCAGGGAAAACATCTTGTCTCCACCCGACTTGGAGCCCGAAGAGGTGCTGTGCGACAGGACTAAACCCGGCTCGTCACCGTCATCCATCTCTGCCGCAAAACGGTGCTAGCTGGCGTTAGCTTTAGCTGCACAAAATGGGAGGACGACAGCTGTGCTAATGCTAACCATGTTAGCCAGCGCCTTGTTCCGATGGCGACAGGAGAGGACGCTGTTTGTCAGGCATCAAGTGCAAACCCTGTTCACCCGAGATCTACAAGTATCTACATTATTGTGTCAACGAAAAGCTAACTTATGTCAGCAGTTTGAATAACACATGTGTAACTTCTATGGGCAATTGTTTCGAATAGTTTAAAAAATAGTTTAAAGTAACTAAATGTCGATTAATGAATGTGCACATTTGAATGTGTATTTTAATTAAAATAAAACACACATTTCTCGAGGTCTGAAATAACGTATGCTGCTGCAATTATTTAATATTATGGAATATATATTTCAAATGATTACAGGTGTTAGCCACAAAAGGAAGAAGCTGGCTGTTCCTTATGCAAGGATGGAAAGTTTAGTGGAAGGAAAAGTGTAGAAGAAAAATGTGGAGATTCGTTTAATTTATTGAGATGCACCTCAAATTAAATGAGCCTTTGAGTATTGCTATTTAATTTTAAGTTATTTTATAACACATGTTAGACAGGCATCCAATTTCACAGCAAGGAGTTGAAACAGAGTAATAAAAAAATGTTACGTGAATACTTTTTCCAACACTATCACTAGTTTCAGGATGCTCGTTTGGATACAGCCTCACAATAATTTTCTTTGAAGATTTCCACCTGAGGTATGATGACAGCAGGAAAAGAGAGGAAAAAGGGTCTCAAATTTCTTTTTACCCCTGAATGCATCAGAGGCTGGAGCTCTCTGCACGCAGCTCTCTGCTGGAGCAGCAGCAGCTTTCATGTTTCTCCTGTATCTCTGGACACTGAAGACTTTGAAAGGTTCTCACCAAAGCTTCAGCCAGCGCATCGGGACCATCACACTCCCAGGGAAAACACTGGACTGGTTTTCAGGCACTTATGCCATCATGACCGCAAGGACCCAAAGACCTGCAGGGAAGGAGGAACACATAATGAACAAACCGACAGGTAATGTAACAGAAGTGGAGTAGATAAATTGTTTTGAATTAAATCTTTAACTTCACATTCTTAATAGTCTTCTACACTGTGGATTCTTAATTGTCAGTAACAAATGACAAAACTCTAGTTTTCAAACTATCAGGTCTGAAAGGTATTTGATAAAAGGTCAAGCGACCCATTACCATCCTTGTATCTGTTTTATTTTGCTATGATTAAGAAAAATGACACAAATGATTAAGCCCTTTTATCACAAATCTTCCTGCCTACAAAAATGTGGTCATTAAGTAAAAATTAGTAGTTTTAAATGTTCACAGGTGTACCAGATTTTGTTCTTTGATTATGTTTGATTATGCTTTTTTACGAAAACTAAATAAATAAATAAATCAAAGTAATTAAGAGTTAATTAACTTTGATAATTAATGTGGGGATTGATTGGGGATTGATTGTCTGCTTTCTTGTACTTGGATAATCTAAGTTTATTAATAAAAAGCAAATGAAAAATGAAAATTATTTCAAGTACTTATTTTCTCATGGAGTAAAAGTAAGAACAGAACATTCAAGAAACAATTCCTTCCAAAAGCTGTGAGACTGAACATAATCATCTTAAAATCTGGGTTTCAACAGTTTCTGCCATAAATCTGCTGAGATGTGTCCAGATGTGAGGGCAGGAGAACATGGAAGGCTAGAAGGCTAGTGTTTGCACAGATGGTGGAAAAGTTTGACATAGATCACCTACAAGTAACTTTGGGCAATTATGTAGATAATGACTGAACAAGTGTATCGTTTTCAAATTAGTTTGTATATCTGGAAAGATAAAAGCTCCTCAGAGTGCAGCTCGGTTTAGTGTCAAGTGTTATGATCAAAGTTCGTTGTTTCTTCTGTGTTTGACAGAGGTGGTGCTGAGGGTGCGGAGAGCTCTGTGGCTGCTACTGAGCATGCTCAGTCTGTCTCTGGCGCTGGTGGTGCTGGGAGCCTACACAACAACGCGCACAGAGAGCCTGAATGTGACTGGCTACATCTCAGGAGTTGTTGTAAGCGGTTTTAAAACGTTGCGTTCTTGCAGTCTGTCACAACAGCTTAAAGTTTCGTCTTCTGGTCTCTGCAGGTGTTTAGCTCAGACACAGTCGTGATGTAAAATGGTTATGAAATTTAATTAACCTTCTACTGCTGCTGTTTGCATTCAATGTATTCTGATATTCCTTCAACATCAGTTTCTACTGCATCCCGTACTGTTTTGTTTGCCTTCATCACGATGTCACATGTTTTTCATGTAATGTCAGAACTGCACCACACAGGCGGCTTTAAAGCTTTTGTTGAGTTCTTTTTCTAGGAAAGGAGCCACTATTGAAAAAGAAAGAGCTTTTGATTTACATGAATCTTCTGTCCCTTGCAGCTGACTCTTGGTTCTTTCCTGGGGCTTTTAGGACTCCTCCTAGAAGAGAACGGCAAGCAATTGGTACTGTAAAATTCAACACGATACCTAAGATGTTCACTTTCCACTGCCATGATTTCTCATCATGTTTCACTGAACAAACTCAGCCTTCTCTGGCATGTTGCTGTTACTGCTTCATCTCGTTTCAGGCATTTTGTATTAGATTTCACACTGATATTGGGAGGTTTCTTCATGTTTTTGGTGGCTGGTAAAAGAAAACCTGTTAAGTCTTAAAAAGAATCAAAGCTTAAGAGGTTCTTCCAGTAAGAACAACCTCGACGAAACAAATCCCACGCAGAATCTCAACAGATAAATAAACCTAATAAATCAGCTGCCTTTCGCTGAAATGACGACATCGGGGGGTTTGGTTTTAGGAAAACATCCTAAAACTCCCATATTTGACTTCATTTGATGTTTTCAGTTTCAAAGGTTGCACAATCAAAGTCTTATGTTTCTACAGAATGCCAAGTTTCATTTTGCTCATCCTGGATAACAAATGCACTGTATTGATGCCTCAACAAGCCAGACTGATGAAAGAGGTGAAACCGGAGCTTCTTTTACAGTAGATACAAGAGAGCGTCAACTGCTGCACACAAATGATCAGGTCCGCCTGGGAGTCTAAATAATTCTTTGTTATTGAAAAATAACAAGGAATTATTAGTTATGATGAGGAAAATATGAAATATGCTGTCCAAGGTACACTCACAATTTGCTTTATTTGTTCCTTTGAAGAACTGGTGGTTATTTACTATCAGTAACCCAAGATGCATCACAACATTGCAAAGTTTGGTTGTGAGAAATATGTTGGTTAAACACATTTTGAACAAACGCTGCACAACCTGTTTGATATTTATTTTTCTTTTTAAAGCCTATGGTGGTGAGATTATTTATTTATTTTTTTTGCCATATTTCTTTAATAAAAGAGCAGCTGTGAGATTTACTTGTTGCTTTGTGAGTGGGTTTATCTCTCAGGATTTAGAAAAATTTACTTCTCACTCATATTTATTGCCTTGTAAATTAGTGTTAGGGAGGCGTTGGGACGGCATGGTACACAAATCTGTTTAACAGTCTGCAGCTCTTTACTCTGTAGGATGCTGAGTTAATGAGCAATATGGGCAGTGTTTCCATATTTATTTGACATTTTTAATATTTTAGTAGACCTGGTCTGTTTTCAGGACTTAATGTGAATTAGTTGCATGACTTTAAATTCTGGAATGTTTTCTGTAAACAAGAAAAGAGTTGACATATAGAATCATGATATCTGGTTAAATACTTTCTGAATCTCAAAGGGAAATTAAGTGTCACGATTTTCTTCAGAGTTTTTGTAGAGGTTGATGACTGTGAGCAGAAATGACCTCCAGTAGCAGTCTGTGTCACAGTGAATCTGAAGGAACCTCTGAGTTAAGTAGATTATTGTTGGTTAATTTTAATTTCTGGTCGCATTGGCGAGTTGATGTTAAAGCACAGTAATAAATACATGGATGAAAAGCACAAAATAAAAAAAAGTCCCTATCAGGTTGAAGGTTAGGGAAGAATTATAAGTAGAAGAAGGCCTGAAGTGTAGTCAAATTTAAACCATTAGCATTATTAGAACTTTTAGTGAGCATAAATAATTTTAAGCTCTCTAACATTTACTAGATCCTCAAGTGCAAAGGGGACTACAGAACTGTAATGGCTGGAACATTTGGCTAACGCGGAGATGAGGCAGGATGAGTGAAAATCTGTTTTGCATTAAAAGGCTGTTTTGATTCATGTAAAGAGCTTAGCCAATAAAAATGTGATTAATATTTTTAGAAGTGCAGTATTGCAGACTTGCTAAACACAAAAGTTTAAAAACATCAATTCCTGGCACGTCTTCTAATCTGTGTTCATGAACTCATTTGTAAAGTTTCATTGATCTGGGGGTTTTTAAATCAAGCTTTTCGACTTCTGGACATTTTTAGGGAACCTTGCCTACAGATTTGCACCAGGATGGCTTTCTTTTATTATTACTGCATGTCATTTACTTTCTGCATACGTCATTGCACTTATTGACGTCGGTGTTGCTGCTGTGTGTAGAGTTTATATTGGCGTTGTTTGGATTTTGCTTTATCTGTTGACGATTGTTGTTTGAAAATATGAGAGCAGATTAAGAGCAAGATAATTTTTCATGGTAAAAAGACCACAACTTTATTCATAGCATGTTCACCAGGATGTGGCTCCCTTGGTTCTTTCAATAAAAGAACCAAGAAGAACTGTTCAAGCTAAAAAGTTTTGTTTTTTAAAAGACTGGTAAAACAAAAGGTTTGGAAAGAGCAGCCGCCAACAATCTGGCAATGAGAGACATGAAAAACTGAAAGCGTTGGGGAAAGAGAGGAAGATATCATAATGACTAAAAACAAGCTAAATCACAGCCAGAGTAGACATTGAAAGCTGAATTTTGGCTTAATAATGAACATCTTCTATCTGTTCTTTTCCGATTTTCCCTCCCCAGATGACGGCTGCCATTGTATTCCTCAGCTTCGGGATCATCGCCTCTTTCCTGTGCCTGATGATTGATGGAGTCGGTATCCTCTTAAACATGGTGGGTTACACTCCCTCTTCTGTGGACACATTAACTTCAGATGTTTGTGTTTAATGATGAAATCAGGCAAACCACGGCGCTGTTTAACTCCAGTCACAGCAGGGGTCTGTTGCGAAAGCTTAAGATGACGAAAAAAGTTTGGTTTGTGTTTTATCAAAAACATAAGACATCAGATGTTTTTCTTTGCATCTAATCTGACAAATACTGTTTTGTCAAGATTTACGTGACAAGGAGAAAGGAAGGGAAATGCTTTATACGAGCAGTAGTTGGAGACCTAACAATCTGGCATCCTACCTAGAGATTTAGAAGCACTCTTTTGCAATGCCCAGTGTGGATTTTTATTCATTTTTTGTGTAGGAGTAATATTAAATAGTGTTTATTAGTCAATGAGATTTGTTGACATGTTTTGTCAGGACGTGCGTCCCCTGAAAGCAGGGCGGTGTCAGTATTACAGCAGCGGCAGCAGCAGCTACATCTATGAGAACTTCTACACTACGGTGAGCGATGATGAGGAAGAGAAATATTGTATTATTCTCATCTGGTTAGGTCACGAGAATCGAAACCAAATTAAAGTTATTTTCAGGTGCCATGTTGGAGTCTGAGGGAGTCCTGTACCATGACTGTACGAAGCGGGACCTGTTACTGCTGTGACCTTTACAACTGCGCCAAGTGAGAGAATCACTATTTCTTCTGAGTCTTTTTAGCTTCCACGTCTCATCAGACACTTTTTGTTTTATGGATTTTGTCCACTTATGCAGAACTGAGTTTTTTTTAATTTTATAACATGACTGATAAAGCAGAACCCTTTCTTTGTTTTCCAGTGGAGACTATATGAACAATTACTTTGAGTTTGTTGGAGTGCAAAGCTGTGAGGAAGTTTTCACCCTGTACATTTTAATCTGGACCCTCACCGGCGTGAACCTGGTGGCCTTTTTCACAGGGATACTGACCGCTGCCGTGCTGGGAAACATCAAGCACTTGGTAAGACAATCCACAGCACTGTCATCCGTCCTCGTATTTGTGATCGAAGGGTCCAATCAGGGCCTGAGGAGTGAAGGAAGGACTCTTTTTTTTTTATTTAAACACAGTACACAAAGACAAAGGCAGTGAAGTGGGACATAATACATCCAGTGTGATTTTTGAACTCAACACTAAATATATATGAAGAAATATTCATTTCTGATGATGAATAAAATTTTATTTCTTGAGTATATATATATATATATATATATATATATATATATATATATATATATATATATATATATATATATATATAGCTGACTGGATAGCTCAATACATAAGGCATCAGTATATCACCCGAGAGGGCAGGGTTCGAATCCAGTCTGGGTCCTTAGGCAAGACCCTTCAAGCTACTGCCTACCTCATACCATGAGAGATACTAAGTTGCATAACATGCCGGCTCAGACGTCGCCCGGCCAAACAAGGTCTGCGTCAGGTGTTGGGGAACCAGAGCACCTTGATGACAAATGGGCTACTGGAACAAGACGGAAATGGGCGAGAGATGAAAATGTGGATCTGTTGGAATGCTACTACTCAAGTAACCCTAGTGAGAGAGGTTACATGCAAAGACTGGGGAAGGAATGGTTACTTCGACATCCCCAGTCAACACTAAGCGCTAAACAACTAGTAGCTCAGTGTTCCAACATCCGCAAACGGCAACTGCTATCACAACTTGAGATTGACGAGATACAACACAAATGCTACGGCAAAAGGGAGGAACCCGGATGTCAGAACTGTGGGGACTTAACTACAAGTCCCCACCCAGTGAGGGGATACACGGCCCCAATGAGCGAAACAGAGCTGAACGAGACAGCTGCTGACCTGAGAGAGAGAATCATGACCCGAATGACAACCAGGCCTCCCCGGCGCCAATTACAACGACTGAGTGAAGTACCATCTGAAAGTCTCATTGAGAATGTGAATGCAGCATTGAGAACAATCCCTACCAACACCATAACAGAAACCAATGAGCTGATCTACAACTCAGCATCAGTGATCCTTGAGATACTTGGCTATAAGAGCAACCATGAGACCCAATACCCACCATGGAAAAGACGGTTAGAGGCTAAAATCAAGGTAACAAGGAGGGAAGTGAGCCAACTGTCAGAGCTCCACAAGGGTGCAATGAAAAGACCAGTACCCAGAAAGTACAGGCAGATGCCCATACCTGAAGCACTCGAGACTGCCAAACAGAGGCTCCAAGCCTTGTCCAGCCGCCTAAAGAGATACACAAGGGAGAATGAATCCAGAAGGATTAACCGGCTCTTCTCCACTCAAACACTCTCAATGGCAGGGTAACAATAATAACAGAGCAGACCCACCAAGGCTGGAGACGGAACAATACTGGAAAGGCATATGGGAAAGGGAGGCGTCCCACAACAGCAATGCACAGTGGCTGATCTCTCTACGAGAGGACCACAGCAACCTCGCTGAGCAAGCCCCGGTAACCATCACTGTGACAGATGTCCAAGAAAGAGTCTCAGGTATGAAAAACTGGACAGCACCAGGGCCTGACATGATCCATGCCTACTGGCTAAAGAAACTCACTGCTCTCCATGAGCGAATGGCAGCCCAAATGAACCAGCTGCTACAAAGTGGGACTCACCCTGAATGGTTAACTGAAGGGCGGACAATCCTAATCCAGAAGGATCCATCAAAGGGTCCAGTCCCACCCAACTACCGACCAATAACCTGCCTCTCCACAACCTGGAAGCTCATGTCAGGCATCATAGCGGCCAAGATAAGCAAACACATGGATAAACACATGAGCACGGCACAGAAGGGTATCGGTGTAAATAGCAGAGGAGCCAAACACCAACTCCTCGTAGACCGCACAGTTGCCCGAGACTGCAAAACCCGACACACCAACCTGTGCATGGCTTGGATTGATTACAAGAAAGCCTATGACTCAATGCCGCATACTTGGATCATTGAATGCTTAGAGATGTATAACATCAACAGGACTCTGAGAGCCTTCATTGCAAACTCGATGAGGCTGTGGAAAACCACCCTTGAAGCCAACTGCAAACCACTTGCACAAGTGTCCATCAAATGTGGCATATACCAAGGAGATGCTCTGTCCCCGCTACTGTTCTGCATAGGCCTGAACCCCCTCAGCCAAGTTATCAACAAGACTGGCTACGGATACAGACTCAAAAATGGGGCCAATATCAGTCACCTCCTATACATGGATGACATCAAGCTGTACGCCAAGTGTGAGCGAGACATCGACTCACTGATCCACACCACCAGGATCTACAGCACTGACATTGGGATGTCATTCGGACTAGAGAAATGTGGTCGGCTGGTCACAAAGAGGGGGAAGGTCATCCACACAGAAGGGGTCTCACTCCCAGAAGGAACAATAGCAGACATAGAGGACAGTTACAAGTACCTAGGTATACCACAAGCAAATGGCAACCTCGATGAGGTCACAAGGAAAGGAGCCACAGCTAAATACCTCCAACGAATAAGGCAAGTCCTGAGAAGCCAGCTCAATGGCAAGAACAAAATCTGTGCGATAAACAGCTATGCCTTGCCAGTAATCAGATACCCTGCTGGAATAATTAGCTGGCCAAAGGAGGAGATAAAAGCCACAGATATTAAGACCAGAAAGCTACTAACAATGCATGGAGGGTTCCATCCCAAATCCAGCACCCTGAGACTGTACACGAGCCGCAAGGAAGGAGGCAGAGGACTAGTGAGTGTGAGAACCACTGTCCAGGACGAAACAACTAAGATCCATAAATACATCAGGGACAAAGCCTCAACAGACAATGTGCTCAGTGAATGTCTCAGACAACAGGGAACGGAGGTTGAGGTGCCAGAGATACCATCATGGGAGGACAAACCCCTACATGGGATGTACCACCAGCAAATAACCCAAGTGGCTGATATCAGTAAATCCTACCAATGGCTGGAAAATGCTGGACTCAAGGACAGCACAGAGGCCCTCATCCTGGCAGCCCAGGAACAGGCCCTAAACACCAGAGCAATAGAGGCCCAGATCTACCACACCAGACAAGACCCAAGGTGTAGGTTGTGCAAGGAGGCCCCTGAGACAGTCCAGCACATCACAGCAGGGTGCAAGATACTGGCAGGGAAAGCGTACATGGAGCGACATAACCAAGTGGCAGGCATAGTGTACAGAAACATCTGTGCAGAATATGGACTGGAAACCCCAAGATCAAAGTGGGAAACACCCCCAAAGGTGGTGGAGAACGCCAGAGCTAAGATCCTGTGGGACTTCCAGATCCAGACAGACAAAATGGTAATGGCGAACCAACCAGACATTGTCGTAGTGGATAAACATCAGAGGAAAGCCGTTGTGGTAGATGTAGCAATACCAAGTGATTGCAACATCAGTAAAAAGGAGCACGAGAAACTGGAGAAATACCAGGGCCTCAGGGAAGAACTGGAGAGGGCCTGGAAGGTGAAGACCACAGTGGTGCCTGTGGTCATCGGGGCCCTCGGGGCAGTAACCCCCAAACTGGAGCAGTGGCTGCAACAGATCCCAGGAACAACATCAGACATCTCAGTCCAGAAATGTGCAGTCCTTGGCACAGCCAAGATACTGCAGGACCCTCAAGCTCCCAGGCCTCTGGTAGAGGACCCGAGCTCAGAGGATAAGAACCACCTGCGGTGGGTGAGAAGGGAATTTTTATATATATATATATATATATATATATATATATATATCTATATATATATATATAAATTCCCTATATATATATATATATATATATATATATATATATATATATATATATATATAAATTCCCTTCTCACCCACCGCGGGTGGTTCTTATCCTCTGAGCTCGGGTCCTCTACCAGAGGCCTGGGAGCTTGAGGGTCCTGCGCAGTATCTTGGCTGTGCCAAGGACTGCACATTTCTGGACTGAGATGTCTGATGTTGTTCCTGGGATCTGTTGCAGCCACTGCTCCAGTTTGGGGGTTACTGCCCCGAGGGCCCCGATGACCACAGGCACCACTGTGGTCTTCACCTTCCAGGCCCTCTCCAGTTCTTCCCTGAGGCCCTGGTATATATATATATATGTTTGGTTGAAATAAATTGGTATCTCATCTGTCTGTTGTCATAGATATTGTTCTCTTTTTTTTGTATGGCTTTATGCTTTCCTTTTCTTTAAGTAAAGAGTAATGTGTAAAGTAAGACATATAAAATAAAGTATATATATATATATATACATATACTTTATGAGAATAAGTTATTTTATTCTCCAGCGAACAGTCAATTTCACTCCATCTCTATCACTTACCTGTAGAAAGAAAGAAGAAAGAAAGCAAAAAAAAAGAATCTGTTTTTCAAGCTTTTTTTTATTTATTTTTCTTACATTTAAATAATTATATTTTTGCTCGTGTGATTTTCTTTTCTTTTGCAGAGGAGCACCAACCCGATGACTGCTGCCGTTCACAGCACAGCATCTTGCCCTACAGCTCCCCTGCTGACGGACGGCAACACACACACTCAGCAGCTTCTTCCTGTCAGTGTTCAGTCAGAACCAGATACACCGTTTTCCCTCACTTGTCAGATTCGTCTCAGTCTTTTCTTGGTGTATGTTTGTTCCCACATAAAAACATTGAACCTCCACCAAACATCCTGAAAAACATGATTAGTAAAGTAGACTGAAAATATAATCGTAAAAAATACATTCTTAATGAACTTTCAGCAGAATAAGGATCCAAAACAAATGCTTAAATCAACAAGGTGATGATTGTTCAGACAAAGAGACAACCAGGACTCTGGGAGGACAGAGAACAGAGGTGTTTAAAGTGTTTAAAGTGCGTCCATTTTGGACACCACAGGTCTAGAGGAAAGATCAAAGATCACTCCATCCAGGGAAAATAATAACAGATCCCTCTCTCTGTGTGCTCCAATCTTGTAAAATATTTTAGAGGAACACTGAGTGCTGTCTCTTGGCAAAAAAACAGACTCTACAAAGTATAAACAGGAGTGTCGATAACTGTGCTGCTGGCAATTTCCCCTAAAGATTTAAATATTTCCAAAAATTTCACAGTAAAAGCATAATTTATCAGGAGGGATGTCATTATTTAGCAGCAGGTATGATGACAAACTAAAGCACTAGAAAAAGTGACAAGAGATTTATTTTTAATAATTATCTGTAGTTGTAATGTTTTGTTACTGGAGCAATGCTGAGAGCTGGTGGATCACTTCAGCCTGCATGAGAGCGTTTTCATGCTGATTGTAAAGTATCTGGTCACAGCATGTGTTTCAAAGCGTTCGCCATGCTCGATGCTGTTACTTTATGCCTCAGGTATTTTAATGGTATACAGACAGATGAGATGCTTTCAGAGGGAGAAATAACTGGTTCTGTTGTCAACATGGCCTGAGATGCACCTCACAGAGCTTTCCCTAGAAATCAAATGAAAAAGCCTCGTCTCTGTTTTCAGTTTCACAAAGAAACACATTTTGCGCAGTAAATCAACGATAAGATCCACGGTCCAAAACGCAAATCTTGTTTTTCTTGCAGCGTCATTTGAAACAGAGCTCAGTGAAGCATTCAGATGCTTAACGATGTGAGTCGCTGCTCAACAGAGACTGGCTCATTTGTCCAAGATGCATATTGTCTCATCTCTTTTCTTCGCACCATCAGTTCTCTCTCATCCTTAGATTAAAAACTAATGGAGCACTAAACAAATACCTGTGTAGCTTAACATAAAAAAAAAAATCAACAATTGACTTAAGCTCAGGGATAGGGAACAGATAGAAAAGAAAATAGCAAAAGAAAAGAAAAAAAAATAAAACTCCGGGGAAAGTCGAGAAAAAGGTTCAAGAAAATGAAAAAGTAATGCAAAATTATTGCAAAAAGCTATAAATGACCATCGGATACGCACTGCAATGTATAAACACGTAAAATAACCCCAAGGAGACACATGACTGCAGAGGAGACATGACTGTTGAGACATTAAACTTCACAAAAGTGTAATTTAAAATCAACAAACTCTCCAAAGTAATAAAGAAAAACCCTAAATAATTACAAAATGCACAATTTGATCCCACATTAAAAGATCTCTGTTTGAGTTCACAGAGTTGAGTAAAACACAATTTCGTTGTGATTTTGTGGGTCTGACAATGCAGTTTGTGCTGCAGCCAGAAGTCTACATGCATTTATCAACGTTTGAACTTTTGGGTTCAAAAAATGATTTTTTACATCGTGGAAATGTCTGTACAGCAAAAATAATTTGATGATTTAAAATTAAAAAAAATTGAAAAATTAGATGCAAAAGTTTACATGTCTCTACGAATATTTGTTGAAATTGACAAACCCAGTTATTCCAGACTGAGAGAAATAAGATCTTTTCACCAAAGTGATAAAATGAATCACATGACCTCTCTTGTTAGTTTTCACCCCGTCCTGTTCAATCAATATCCGTTTTACAACCAGGACAGCCGTACATTTAACAGAACAATAAAACTCATAATTTATGTCACTGGTGTTGCATTCTTGTTTGGAAACAGCAGGGTTATACAAAAGTGTAAAGTCATTGTAAGGTAGCCTTTTGTTTAGGTTTTCAGGCCAAAAATTGTAAATTACTTTTAAAATATCAACTAAAAAAAGTCAAACTGAAACCTATAAATCATCTATTTCTATTTATACAATGACAAGACTGCTTTAGTTTTATCCTTGCCTTTTATAAACTCGTAATAATGAATCGTGGAATTTTTGTGAAGATTTTCAGAAAATTAAAATCAAGAATATGTTTTTAATTCCCTCTTTGTCTTGTCCATCCAGAGGATGTCAGAGTTTTTCCCACCTGGAGAACGGAGTGCCTCAGCCGTGCTCTCAGAGTCCAACCCGCCTTCCTTCAACCCGCTGACCACCCTGCCGGAGCCTCTCTGCATGAGCCGCAGCGTCACGCCGAAAACACATCAAGAGGATGGAGGGAAAGAGAACTGAAATCCAACACAGAGTGCTAACAATGTACAGGTTCCAAAATATTCACCTTTGGAGGTGGTAATGGGTGATAATCTGCATATTTTATACCAGATGCAATTAAAGAAAATGTGCTGTCTCAGCAAAAGTACAGAAATAACTTTTAATGTAACAAGATTTTTCTTGGCATTTTAACATCCTGTTGTTGACACACTCTGCCTTGAAAAAGTACTTATGTCACATTTTGTCATGCTATAAACTCGAACAGCAGACAAACAGGGCTTCTGAAAAGTGTGGTGCGCACTTCTCAGTAAGTCTGTATTAATTTACAACTAATACTTTGTAAAGCAACTTTTTGCCACAATTAAAGTTGTAAAGGGTTTGGGTGTGTCTCTGTCAGCTTTTCACAACCATTTTCAAAACTGTCGAGTTAAAAAAAGACATTTTGCAAATTATGTAAATTCAATAAGCACTTTTTTATTGCCACTCTTCTATAAAAGCTACAGCTCCTCCACAGTAACCATGGATCTGATGGCCACCTCTCTGATTTGCTCTCTTCTTGCATGTACGCTTTAGACAGATATCCATGTATTCTTAAGTTTGCAGTTTTGTCATATTGTTTCAATATTAAGATATTGCCTTGGCTTGTGCTCAACGATGTTCAACGTTTGGGAAATCACTGTGTAACCCAACCCCGCTTTAAACATTTCTGATGTTTCCCTTGGAGACAAAGTGTGGAAAGTATCAGAGTCTATGAGTCGAGCCTCAGTCCAAATGCAGCATCAACTGAAGTCAAGAAGTAATCGGTGTCTCCTCCAATTTCTTCCAGAAATTGAAAGATGATCACATTTTAACGTTTTATGAATGAATGTAACATAAGTCTGACTCCAGGTGTTTAACACGTGTGTGAGCTGCAACTATGTAAAGCAGAAAAGTAAAAGATTTGAGTGAAACCAAACAGAAGTTTCCATGCAATGTTTGAATTGTGTATTGTTTCTGATCTTCCTGCATCAAAACCATTACAGGTTGAGGGACAAAAACAAACCACTGAGGAAGAACTACATAGATGTGAGGGTGCATCCCGTTTGATCCCTTAGACAAGCATTCACTGAATTTACTGAGTGGATTCTTCCTGTTTTTGGTGTGAAATCAGGTAGCAACAGTTTCACCAACTGCGTCATGATTCAGCCCAATTTCTAGTCACTTTACAACAAAAAAAAAGATGATTTCTAATTGAACAGAAATAATTTCTACCAACACAATCTAATCAAACAGACAGACAGACTAGATTCAATGAGTCTGTCTGACCTTAAATATAACACAAGGGAGTTTAATTCAGTTTTGATGATAGAACTAAAGAGGTTGACTTTGTAATGTTGAATACAAAATAAACGCAACATTTTATTTGAAAATTAAGAGAGAAAAGTAAAATCCTTTCTATTCTGTTTTACAATTATTCATTACTTTGTGTCAGTCTATCACATAAAATCACAGTAAAATACACTGAACCTTTGAAAAGTGCTGCTGTGCTGCAAATAATTTACTTTTATTATGGATATTCACCTTATGGGATAAAGAGATCCCATAAGATCTCTTTATCCCATAAGGTGAATATCCTTATGGGATAAAACCTCAATAGATACACATGATAATGCTTAAGTATTAAATCAGCAACATGCACATACTACGGAGATATTAAAAATGAGGTAACCTACAGTATCTGGACTCTTTGAATCAAGACATCTGAAGGAAAAGCTGCATTATTTTGACTCAGAAATCCCCATCAAAAGCCTGTGTTGAGTGAGTTTAAACAGGCAAAGGATGTAAACTGGATCTCAACACGTCTCTGTTTCTGTTATGAGTTCATAAGCAATTTCAGACGACATGCAGCTGGAATGAAAACATGAAAAGGAACAGTGAGAAGGTCGGGACTGGGAGCCAGAAGTTAGTAAGTCTATCAATCCAGTATGAGACAACAGATAAAAGTAAATAAGTTGGTGGCTCTTGCAAAATGATCTTGATGACTCTGATCCTGTTGGTGCTGTTTTAGGCCTTTGTTAAAATATTCACTCGTGTTTCACAGTGGGAAACCATGAGGCACACACCAGCACATGGCAAAGGTCAATAGTGTGTGGTGGGTCTGGCAACTGAGGCATGGGCAGAAAATGTACTCTGAGTCAGAGAGGTGGGAACTACCAAACAAAACATTTGACTGCTTGTTAAAAATGTGGAGGAATTTGGAAACGTGATTTGATGACTTTTTTTGGTATGTTTTATTTTATTTTATTTTTCATTTGTTCACTTTGATACGTTGTCTTTTATACTTGCTGTAACATCGATTGCCCATTTGGGACATGAATAAATCTGAATCTGGATCTGACAGTTTTGCCCGATGCATTTTACACCATACACAATCACATAAAGTCCCAACAAAACGCAAACATATATGGTTGAAACATGACAGAATGTGAAACAAATTCAAGATGTACGATTGTTTCTGCACAATCATTTTTACGTGTCCATTGATGGGCGGCAATCTGAACAACATTTATGTATGCATGTTTTCTATGATCCCAAACAGAAGGTGTTGTACAACACAGGAGGGATTTTGTCATAATTACTTGTGTTGGAAGTGCTGTTCCTCTGTGGTCAGGACCCAGCTTCAGTCATTTCCAACCCCTTCCTGCTCGATCAGATTTGTCCCTTTACAATCGAGTTGCAGCGTAATTATGCAGAAGAGCATCAACCGGTGAGGCGGACGTCAGGCTCCGGGGTCAAAGAGCAGCACTGGTTGGGATAGCGTGTTTATTCTCCACGAACGTTTTCATAACTTCCTCTGCATGTCTGCTCGACTTCTCAGAAGGAGGTCTGCGCTGTTGAAACATGAGGTCGTCTCTTGCTGTGCTACAGACCTGATCCTTCAAACACAAACAGATTCTTGGCGTGCAATCCTCCAAACTATGTTCCCTGTTAGGAGGAGGAAAGCTTGTGGTGCTGCTAGTAGATGAAAGCCATGTCCAAATTACAGCTGCTGCAATCCCAAAAGGAAATCACCTCAAAGGTAATAAATATCCTGATGAGGGATGGAGATGTAGTGCATCACACCAATGAACACTGGAAAGTAAAATAAATATATAACTTAAATGGTTCTCACTTTAATTTTGATCATTGTTAGAGCTGGTGATGAAGAGGGGAAATAAAAGAGAATAAAATGAGCGTTGTGGTGATGTTTCAATCTGCTGAAACATTTCAGAAATTGAATGAGAGAATATTCTTTCTCTGTAATTCCATCAGAGGGATTGACCTTTGATCCCTGTAATCACCTTCTGGGTGAAATCAGGAGATCAACTTAAAGTGAAGCAGCCAATAGAAATCCGATCTGAACTCAATCCTGACTAGGTTCACTTGGCTTCCTAATCTTTATGCCTGAGCCTAACCTACGACCTCCGCTGAATCATATTCTACATAGTCAGATGACTTTAACTCTTTTTGTTTTGTATATTTAAAATTTTAGCATTTTTCTGCCAATGCACACAAGTAGAAACTAAAAATGGATTAAGACAGTTGGAGTAGTGATGATAGTTTGCAGCTGTGAACTGTAGACTTTTAATATCTAAAATACAGTGTTGCATGTACTCAGTCCAACTAAACATGCAAAAACGCATCTTATTGCATGAAAACAAATCTTTGCACATCCCTAGCCCCATGGCAGTGTAAGCATGCTGTGGGAACGCTCAAGTGAATGGGAGGATAGATGGAAACAAATGTAGATAAATGTAAGAAAAAAACCTATTATGCAACAATAAAACCTATGGCACAACATTATTTTCTTTGTTTTTGAATTAAATTTTACAGAAATATTAGATTATACTAATGCAAACACAAATCACACTCCACGAAAAGGAGGACTGTTGGCAAAGTGTTTATTCTGAGACAATATGGACCATAAATGTGAAATACATCGCTCTATTAGTATAAAACCAGACAACAAACTGAGGCTGAACATTCAGAAATGAGTTGGATATGTTTAAATAACCGCTTTCTTTCACTAGTGGCTAAAAAATTCAATTGAAATTTAAATCAAAACTCAGGTAAAAATAAATAAAATACAACCAAACAATCCCTTCAGATGGTCCTGCCTTTTGTAATCTCCCTTTAGCGAGCGAGAGCTGATTGAAGGAAATGTTTGTTGGATTTTAATAATGTCCAAGAAACTAATTTGTTCTCTCGTTAAAACAAAGTGCTCAGAAACACAACTCGTACGCCATTTGACAAAAAAAGCTTCCTGGGAGGTATTTGTCTAACAAAAGTCGATCTAAGCATGTTCCCTTTTAGTTTGGTCAAATTTGAACATAAAATGAATGATGCATGCTGCTCTGCACTCTGGCATTTCTACTTCTGCAACCACAAAGAAAGAAAATGAAGCTGTTCCCTTATTTAGAAACGATAATCTAAACATATGTTCTTTGAAAGTGAAAATCTTCAAATAATAGTTTAATATTTGTGTTTAGCTTCATCTAAGGTCAATCAGTTTTAAGCTGAAATAAAACAATAAAAAAAATGTTAGCATTAAAACTCCTGTAAAGTGGAAATGTTGCAGCTGAATGCAAAACAGCAGCAGCCTAAATAAAAAAATTAAATAAAAAAAGCAGTTTAACAAGAGACATGTACCAGCACAGCAACATATTCAAATCAGAGTTTACAAAAAATAGATACAAAAACTTTTATTGAGAAACATATAAATTGTTAAATAATGAAAACATGCATGTTAGCAATTAAAATCAGACAAAAGCAATGTTTTTGCATACGTACAAAGTGGTTAACCCTGTATTCTTAACATCAAATGTTCCACATGTTAAAACAAATTCAAGTTTTTTCTTCTTCATTGTTTGTATGGGTGCAAAAGAGGGAGAAAAAAAAAAACAAAAAACAAAAAGGTGGAGGGGAGGACGTAGATGGAGTCACTCCAAGACTCCAAATCGATTAATGCACGTTTTTCTTCACACTTTAGACATTTTACAACCTTCTCTGGCAGGGAGGCGCTGTGAAAAATTTTCAAACTCCAGATGTCAAAAAAAAAAAAAATCTTTAAAATAATAAAAGCGTAGCAGCTGGAGCTTTGGAGTGCTGCTGGTGTGAAAGACGAAGGGGCGTCGTCGCTGCGGTTGCCCGACGAATTCAGAGGTGAAGGGAGTCGTCTGTTATTCTGGCAGCCTGCTCTCGGCGGGACCTCCACCGTGTCTAGCGTCGGCCGTGTTGGGGGCGCGGGGAGCTCTGAGCATGAACATCACGGGTCCCATGTACACCGTACCATCAACAGTTCACAAGCACAAGCAAACACAACTCTTTACCACAGTCATGCCGTCCAGATTCAAAGCTGAATGCATGCAAAACTGCTTGCCCTAAAAGTCAATAAAAAGAATGTTAAACCAGACAAACAAAACTGAACATATACATATATTTATAATCTGTCTCAAATTTAACAGTTTGTGTACAAAATACATATACACTTACGTACAAGAGATTGCCTTTGGTTGACAAAAATATCTTAACACGTATATATATATATTTAACAGGCATTCAACGTTATTGTACAGGAGTGAAACAAAGAAAAATATGTACTCAGGATCATGTAATGATCATAAAGCTGATACCAAGTATCTAATCATTTCCATTCGGACAGCTCCAAATATTTAAAGTGCGTTTGCATTGTTTCCTCAGTAATAAATGTGAAAAGAATCTCCATCAGTAAGGCAGATTGGTTTTTTTTCTTTTTATAAAACACATACATTTGTTCAGAAGAAGGACACTAAAGGATTTGAGGGGCACTAACAAGAGGATCGTCCTCCAGAGTGATGATTGTTATTGAACTGAGGCTTTAAAAACATTTAAAAACAAGGAGGGAGTGATCATCATCACAGCTGTCGATATAAAACAGAGTAAAATTTAAAAATACACATATA